AGTTCCATCGGACTCCCATTCGACCCCCACAGGGTTCCATCGGAGTCCCATAGAACCCTTACAGGGTTCCATCGGACTATTTCGGCGCACCCCTCACGCGGCTCGTGGCCCTACAGGGGGCGCATCCGAAGGCTTCGGGCCCATTTCGGCGCACCCCTCACACGGTTCGTGGCCCTACAAGGTGCGCGGCCGAAGGCTTTCGCGGCCCCACATGTGGCGCACCCGAAGGCTTCGGGCCCATTTCGGCGCACCCCTCACACGGTTCGTGGCCCCACAGGGGACGCAGCCGAAGGTTTCGGGCCCATTTCGGCGCACCCCTCACACGGTTCGTGGCCCCACACGGGGCGCAGCCGAAGGCTTCGGGACCCTTTTCGGCGCACCCCTCACACGGTTCGTGGCCCCACAGGGACCGCACCCGAAGGCTTCGGGACCTTTTCGGCGCACCCCTCACACGGTTCGTGGCCCCACAGGGGGCGCAGCCGAAGGCTTTCGCGGCCCCACATCGGGCGCACCCGAAGGCTTCGGGTCCATTTCGGCGCACCCTTCACACGGTTCGTGGCCCCACATGTGGGCGCAGCCGAAGGTTTCGGGCCCATTCCGGAGCGCCCCTCACACGGTTCGTGGCCCCACATGGGGCGCACCCGAAGGTTTCGGGCCCATTTCGGTGCACCCCTCACACGGCGCGTGGCCCCACACGGGGCGCAGCCGATGGCTTCGGGACCATTTCGGCGCACCTCTCACACGGTTCGTGGCCCTACAAGGTGCGAAGCCGAAAGCTTTCGCGGCCCCACATCGGGCGTACCCGAAGGCTTCGGGCCCATTTCGGCGCACCCCTCATACGGTTCGTGGCCCCACACGGGGCGCAGCCGAAGGTTTCGGGTCCATTTCGGCGCACCCCTCACACGGTTCGTGCACCCCACATGGGGTGCAGCCGAAGGCTTCGGGACCCTTTTCGGCGCACCCCTCACGGTTCGTGGCCCCACAGGGGGCGCAACCGAAGGCTTCGGGTCCATTTCGGCGCACCACTCACACGGTTCGTGGCCCTACAAGGGGCGCAACCGAAGGATTTCGCGGCCCCACATGGGGCGCACCCGAAGGCTTCGGGTCCATGTGGGCGCACCCCCCATGTGGATCCTTTAGGATGCTTGTAGGGATCCACAGGGATCCTCTAGGATGCTTGTAGGGATCCACAGGGATCCTCTAGGATGCTTGTAGGGATCCACAGGGATCCTCTAGGATGCTTGTAGGGATCCACAGGGATCCTCTAGGATGCTTGTAGGGATCCACAGGGATCCTCTAGGATGCTTGTAGGGATCCACAGGGATCCTCTAGGATGCTTGTAGGGATCCACAGGGATCCTCTAGGATGCTTGTAGGGATCCACAGGGATCCTCTCAGATCCCTGTAGGGTAGGGATCCAGAGGGATTCTATAGGGTCCCTGTAGGGATCCACAGGGATTCTATAGAGTCCCTGGAGGGATCCACAGGGATCCCTGGAGGGATCCACAGGGATTCTATAGAGTCCCTGGAGGGATCCACAGGGATTCTATAGAGTCCCTGGAGGGATCCACAGGGATTCTATAGAGTCCCTGGAGGGATCCACAGGGATTCTATAGAGTCCCTGGAGGGAGTCTATAGAGTCCCTGGAGGGATCCACAGGGATTCTATAGAGTCCCTGGAGGGATCCACAGGGATTCTATAGAGTCCCTGGAGGGATCCACAGGGATTCTATAGAGTCCCCCTGGAGGGGGATTCTATAGAGTCAGGGGGATTCCCTGGATAGGGATTCTATAGAGTCCCTGGAGGGATCCAAAGACTCCTAGAGGGTCCCGAATGGATTCCGATGGGAATCCGCAGGGAGCTTGTAGGATTCATACAGAAGTCATACAGAATTCATACAGAATTCGTTGTGTTGTGTGTGTGTTTGCCCCCCCCCCCCCCCCCCTCTCCGACTCACCGGGGGGGGCGGGACCGGCCTCCTCCACTGTGGCGGACGCGGGAAGTGAAGCCCCGGACCCCGGGGGGACCATGCCGGCCTGTACCTTGTTGTTGTTGTTCATCCTCGCTGTTGTGGTTGTTTTTATCATTGTTGTTGTCGTGGTTGTTCTCATTGTCGTGGCGGCTGTGTTTGTTGTGGTTATTGTTGTTGTTGTTGGCGTTGGTGTCGTTGTTGCTGTCACTGTTGTGGATGATGTTGTCGTTGTTGGTGTTGTCGTTGGTGCTGTAATTGTTGTTATTGGTGGTGTTGTTCTGATGTAGTTATTGTTGATGATGTTGTGGTTGTTACTGCTGTTGTTGTTGTGGTTGTTGTTCGTGTTGTTGTCACCAGTTGTGGTTGCGATCCCGATTCGATTCGATCCGCTTAGGATCACCGGCACCGGCTGGGGCCAGCCGGAGCCGCGTGCGGCAATCCGGTGATTCGTTCCGATTCGGGTCGATTCGTTGGCGGTCTGATCCGTTCCCGGTTCGATCCGACTTCACGATTCGGTCCAACGCATGCCTGCCGCCGACGACGGCGCCGCCCTCTGCGCCGTCACCGGAGGGCCGCCGAGGGCCGAAGGCAGTAGAGGAACAAAAAGCTGCACGTGAATGATTTTAGGGAGGTCGAGCCGGATTTGTTGCATTGACACAGAAGCCCTTCCTTGGCGCGCGGAAGCTTCGAAAGCGCGAATCACGCGTGATGTATCGGGGGTTTTCGCCTCGGGAGGGCGAGTCTTGCGCAATTTGCAAAAAGTTCTGGCTTCGGGAATGCGAGCCTGGTCTCATGTCTGAAATATTACGGCCTCGAGAACGAACCTTGTGCGCATTACAAGGGATTCTGGCCTCGATATCGCGAGTCGGGTGCAATTGACGTGGGATTTGGCGTCGGGCACGCAAGCTCTGTGTACTTCACAAAAGAATATTGCCTCGGGCCGCACACCCCGCGTATTCCAATGTGTTCCAGGCCCACCATGGATTCAGGCAGCACGACTCGGGGACGGCATCCGGTTCTTTTTCGGTTCCCCCCCTCCCGCGGACAGCAACAATTTACAGTGCAATGGGGGCCCCAGCCAAGAAACACCTTGCTTGCTTCTAGGGTGCCCTGAGTTTCTTGGGTTCCGATTTTTTGCCATCGAAAGTGCACCGCTCCCACACAACAAATCGATTGGCGGCCTGGGATTTCAGGATTGTTTTTGTTTTGGAAGGTCTCTTGTGGTCGAGCTCATTCTGTGACAGAAGGTTACCACCTTACTATGTTTGTGCCGTTTTTTGGTACGCGAAGTTGGCGGAGAGGCGCCGAAGAAGGAACAGCTTCACAAGCACACGCGGTCGGAGCTCCGCGCGGATTTTTGGATCGGCGCTGGACCCCCCCTCTGGCTCGCGGAGCGGCCCAGCGCCGCTCCAAGAAATCCGCGCGGAACCCCGAGATTCTGTGCAGGAAGCAGGCCAGAAATTGGAGCAGCAGCAGGTGGCGGGGACGCCTCCGGCACGCAGCCGGGGTGCCCCACAGGGGGGGGGGGCGGGCGGAGGTGCATGCCGCGTCTTGGCCGACGGGGCCCCCTGGCGGCGCCTCCGGCGCCGCCCCCTGGCGCGCTCCGCGCGCCATGGAGGGGGCTCCAGCGCGGATCCAGGAAATCCGCGCGGACCTCAGAGTTTTTATGTTTGTGTCATTCTTCGTTCCCCTGTCCAGTGCACCCCTGGCGAGCCCCAGGGGGGCCCCAGGGGCTCCAAACTAGAGCGGAAAGCCGGGAGCACCTTGGGCCAGGGGCACCCTCAGGGGGGGATGCATCGACCCCTCAATCACCCACTGATCGCCGATAGGGGCCCGAGAGCCCATCCCGCCTGGGAACGGGCGGATTCACCATCGGGGACGTTTCGCTGATGTATCATTCGGTGATGCATCGGCGATTCCAAGATGATGCTTCCAACCCCATGAGCCCGCCCCTCCCTGTCGCTGCCCCTCAGGTAGGGGGAGGATCGGCTCGGCGGGGGGATGCAGGCCGGCTTGGGGGGTCTGAGGTGGCCCAGCGTTGCCTCCGGCGAGCAGGAAGGGAGGGGGGAGACAAGGTTCGAGGTTTTGGGCTCGGCCTCCAGGGGCCGCTTTGGGGCCCCGGGGCCAGGGTGGAACATCGCGCCGGACTGCTGTTTCAGACCCTTCAGCTGCCCCAGCGTCGGCCCCCGCTCGCCCATGCATGGCCGATGGGGGCCCGATAGCCCGTCTCGCCCAGGAACGCGCGGACTCGCTATCGGGGGCCTATCGCCGTTCTATCGGCGATGCATCGCCGACGTATCCCCCCCGAGCCAACCCCCTGTCGATGGGGGGGAGGAGGAGGAGGAGGAGGAGGAGGAGGAGGAGGAGGAGGAGGAGGAGGGCGGAGGAGGTGGAGGTGGAGGTGGAGGTGGAGGTGGAGGAGGAGGAGGAGGAGGAGGAGGAGGAGGAGGAGGAGGGAGGAGGAGGAGGAGGAGAGGAGGAGGGGAGGAGGAGGACGAGGAGGAGAGGAGGAGGAGGAGGAGGAGGAGGAGGAGGAGGAGGAGGAGGGGTGGGGAGAGGGAGAGGATTTATGCAGACGCTGCCGCAGGCACGAAATAGCCGAGGCATTCGGCCCAGGACCGTTGTGTCGATGTTTCGAGGTCTTCTTGTGCTTCGCGTCGGCGTCGGGAATGGCCCCAAATCTGGCCAGCAACTACCGTTGCTTCGAGTTTCGGGCCCAAGGACCGTGGTGTCGAAGCTTCGAGGTCTTCTTGTGCTTCGATTCGAGGCCAGGCCCGCTGTCCTCCTCTCTCCTCCCCCTCCTCCCTCCTCCTCCTCCTCTCCTCCTCTCCTCCTCCTCCTCCTCCTCCTCTATCCTCCTCCTCCTCCTCCTCCCTCCTCCGCCCTCCCCTCCGCCCTCCCCCTCCGCCCCCCTCCTCCCTTCCTCCCCCTCCTCCTCCTCCTCCTCCTCCTCCTCCTCTTCCGCCCTCCTCCTCCTCCTCCTCCTCCTCCTCCTCCTCCTCCTCCTCCTCCCACCCCCCCGCCGAGAGGCGGTGCGCCGCTGTCCTCCTTGAGCCCGTCGCCCTCCAGAAGGGCCTCTGGCGCGGCCGCGAGCCCGTCGCCCGGCTCCCGCAGGGCGTCCCGCGTGCCGAGGCCGGGAACTGCGCATCTGAAATAATGTTTGTTTCGTTCGATTGCGGCTCAGCCCGGGACCCCGCCCCTGCGCCTTGACCTCGAAACCCGTCCTCCAAGGGCCCATGGGTGAGCCAGCATCGGTCGAGCGTTATTGTGAATTGATTGCTGACACCCAGATTGTTGTCGATGGCTCTGCTTGTCAGTTCGCGCTCGTTAAGCTGAATCGCGCGGGTTATGCTGCTGTGTTTCTGGCGCCTGACCATGTGCATGAGAGAAAGGTTGGCATTCGAGGCACGGCGTGGCCTGGTCTCCCCCAGACGGCCCAGCTGGGTGAGAACCCCAGCATTGCTCTCTTGAGTTGCCTTCGGGAGCTGCCTTCGGAAGCCTCGAGGCGGGGGTCAGCGCAGACGGGGGCCAGCCAGAGCGCCCGATCTTGCAGGATCCTGCAGGGCCAGGGTCGACCTGACCCGGGTCATGTTGCAGGATCCTGCAGGATCCTGCGCACTGACCTGGGCTCGGGTGCAGGATCTTGCAGGATGTTGCAGGATTCTGCAAGGCCTGACTGACCTGGGTCTGGATTGACCCGGGCCAGCAGATCCCCGACTCTCGCTGCCTTTGCCAACAGGGAGCACAAACGTAACGAAAACTCGCGCAGGTGCAGTGAGGCTCGAGGAAGAGGAGGATAGTCGCGGGCGACGATGTGGACGAACAGCCCAGGGGCGGTCATTACACGTGTTCGCCCGGGAGCTTCGCCGCAGGCATGGACCATCGGCGTCATTGTATACATGTATTGTTCTCCCCTGGGCTATTCGCCCCCGTCGTCGCCCCCGAGCTAGGGGAACGAATAATGACATAAACATAAAGACTCAGAGGTCCGCGCGGATTTCTCGGATCGGCGCTGGGACCCCCCCGGCGGCGCCTCCGGCGCCGCCCCTGGCGCGCTCCGCGTGCCAGGGAGAGGAGGTCGAGCGCCGATCCCAGAAATCCGCGCGGACCTCTGAGTTTTTGTGCTTATGCCCCATTTGTTCCCCCAGAGGAGGAGGCCGCGGTCAGGTGATGACGACGATGATTTGCCATGAGATGCGCTCGCCGTGTCTGGCAGGTATCCGCCACGCGGGGCGGGCCCCCGCCGCCACGGCGGAAGCCTACCAAGCACGGGGCGGGTGAGGCCCTGATATAGCCCCCCCTAACGGGTAGGCCAGCTTGATCCAACACCAGAAAGGCTTGAGCCCCCACGAGGGGGGGAGGGAGAGAGAGAGAGAGAGAGTTTACAGCAGGCAACTGAGCTGTTTCTGTCAGCAGTGAGCACGAACGAAAGAAAGAACACTCTAGCTTATGAAGCGAGGCTCGAGGAGGCGCATGAGGAGGAGTAGAAGGAGGAGGCGGCAGCGGTCAGGTATTTGCCATGAGATGCGCTCCCGGCGACTGGCATCCATCCGCCACTCGAAGCGGGCCTCTGGCGCTCCCTTGAGCAAGTCGCCGTGGAGCTCCGCGGTGTCCAGTCGCTTAGAGCTGGCTTGCAGTGCGCCCAGCCTCGGTGAGGCAGCACTGCGCGCGGCGGGAAGAGGCTGCGAGGGCTCGCGTCGGCACCGACCACCTGTCAGGTGGTCGATGCCGACGCGAGCCCTCGTTGATGCCACTGCTGCCCCGCAGCAGGCCTCGCCGGCGCCTCTGGTGCCAGGCGCGGCAGCGCCGGCTCCTGTCGAGCCACCGGGTGCCTGGAGCGTGCGCCTGCGGGTGGTCTGGGGCGGGCCCCGGCAGCGTCGTCACGCCTGGCTGCGCAGCCCCCTGGGGCTATACCGCCCAGCCGAAGCGGCCCATGCCCACCCGGCGGCTGTGCGCACGCCGTCGCTGGTCCTGGGCACTTGTCTCAAGTCGGGCGTGTCCCTCTGCAGGAAGAATATTCAAAAATTGTGAAAAGTAGTCTGGGGGCGATGGTGTACAATTTCTGAATTTATTCTGGACTATTTTTCACTGTTCCTCCAGAATCCGCCTGTAGGAGGACATGCCCGACGTAACATTGGTGGGCCTGGCGGGCGGCTCCCTCGAGCACGCCGCGCCGGGCTTGGGCACGCTCAGGCGCGCCTGCCCTCCTCCTCCGCGGCAGAGACCAACCCTGCAGGGGGTCCGGGAAGTCGGGCCTCAATAACTAGGCGCGCGCGCCCCTTCCCTTCACGTGCGGGGCTGGCGACCTGGGGCAGGAGGTCCTTGCGATGATCGACGAGGCCGCCGAGCGTATAGGTGTGTTCCCAGTGCATTTCCGGTGGATGCATGCTGATGTCACTCTTCGAGAAGCCTATGGGTGGACTTCGACCTATTCTTCTCCTGGGATCGCCTGTTCGCGTTTGGTTTATCTGTGCTGCGCTGCAATACTCTGAGTCGTTCATTATGGTGTGGCTCCGTGATAGAGCCGTCTTCTGGAGGACCTCCATGGTCCTTGTTCAGACGTTGCATAACCCCTGGAGGCCCCCCACGGACCCTGAGGTTTGGGGGTCAATCACTCCTTTGGCCCGCCATGCTGAACATGGGCTCCCCGCGGGCGACATGCGCAACGATGTGTTCGCCAAGGCTTACGCAATGTTTGATTTTGACATGTAGTCCCAGAGGCATGTCGAGGTCTTCTTAGGTTCCTGCGTCGACGATGACTCTGTTGCGGCCCACGGCGATGAGGATGCCAGTGTAGCTAGCATCGCCAGGGCGGGGATCGAACCCAGCACCAGCAGGCTGAACGTCCGTCTGGCGGAGGACACGGCCGTCACCTTTACCTCTTCACAGCGCCTCGCCAGTCGTCTGTGCCGTGGCTTGCGCGCGGCTTGTCCATAAGCCGCGACCAACGCGGCCGTCTCGCCGCGCGTGGACTTGGCCCCAGTTAAGCGTCGAGCTTGCAAGAGGAAGGGGCGAGAGGGAGGAGAGGTTAGGGTGATGAAGAAACGTCGTCGGCTTCCGTCGCAGTATCGTCGAATATATACTCGGGACCAATCCAGACTGCACAGGATTTACGTTGCTGGTGTTCGTGCTGATGCTGGCTATGAATCTAGGGACTTAGGCGTGTCAGACTGCGAACTCAGACCTCTCCAGCGCGTCCACCTTGCCGGCCAAAGCCCTGCTCACCGAGGGGCCCCTTTGACGCCCTAGATGGTTTTGCACGGCGACCCCGCGTGGAGACAGTCAGTTGCGCCATGCCAAGAGTTTGTGGTGATCGGTTACGAGGCCCGACATTTCCCCGCTCTCGCTCCGCGGCCACATGCAGATCTGGAGGGGCGCGGCCAAGGGTCATGAGCTCGATCTAGAGGCCACGGGCTGGAAGAAGTCCTGGGACCCCACGTCACAGGACGTTGCTCAGTCTGCAGCGGATCGGTTGGAAGGCGGCGGGCCTGGCGCGACGCACGACCATATATGATCGACCTGCTCTGCACCTCCCCAGCGCTGCTCAGCGGCGCGCCGCTCGTGTCTCACCCGATCTTCTTAAGCGAATTCTTCGTTCAGAGACGTTCGACGGTCGACAGAAGTGATGGCTCTCTGCTTGCTTCTCTGGTGCCCGTTGGACAGCGGATCGTTTGAAAGCGTCGGGTTGCGTTTCGGGCATGGAGTGCCCTCTGCGCGGAGAGCCCGATTCCATGTCCACAGGCAGTTCTTGTGCTCGCATCCGACCGTCGTCGAAGCATGCCGCGGGCATCTCCCCAAAAAAGAGAGATTCATGCCGTCCAGAACTGCGCATATGAAAGAATATTTGTCTCGTTCGATTGCGGCCCAGCCCGGGACCCCGCCCCTGCGCCTTGACCTCGAAACCCGTCCTCCAAGGGCCCATGGGTGAGCCAGCATCGGTCGAGCGTTATTGTGAATTGACTGCTGACACCCAGATTGTTGTCGATGGCTCTGCGAGTCAGTTCGCGCTCGTTAAGCTGAATCGCGCGGGTTATGCTGCTGTGCTTCTGGCACCTGACCATGTGCATGAGAAAAAGGTTGGCATTCTAGGGACGGTGTGGCCTGGTCTCCCCCAGACGGCCCAGCCGGGTGAGAACCCCAGCATTGCTCTCTTGAGCTGCCTTCGGGAGCTGCCTTCGGAAGCCTCGAGACGGGGGTCAATGCAGACGGGGGTCCCAGAGCGCCCGATCTTGCAGGATCCTGCAGGGCCAGGGTCGCTTTGTCCCGGGTTTGAGTGCAGGATCCAGCAGGATCTTGCAGGATCCTTCGCGCTGACCCGGGTTTGGGCGCAGGATCTTGCAGGATCTTGCAGGATTCTGCAAAGCTTGACTGACCCGGGTCTGGATTGACCCGGGCCAGCAGATCCCCGATGCCTCGCTTCGGGTCTCTGCGAGGCACGCGGTGACTGCCTGGGGGCCGTCCGCCTGGCTCCCTGGCGCTGCCCTGGCCCAGCTAGGCCCCGGCGACGTTCTTGCCGGCCGTCGGAGGCGAGCCTTCTGGGAGGAGGGGCAGCCTGGCTTGGCGCCTCTCGCCTGGCGCTCCTGCCCAGCTCTCGGAGAGGGCGGTGGCTGCGCTTCCGCCAGGGGGGGGGGGGGCAAGAGAGTTGTGGGCAGCCAGCGTGCGGAGCCTCTTGCGAACACGCTCCGAAAACTGGTGGCCATGTTCGGTGAAGTTCATTGCCTTTTTTCCCGAAACTCCACTTGCGTCGGGTGAACCCGCGACCCCTGGGATCAAAGCGAGGGCCCCGCGCGCCATCGATTGGCACGACTGGGCCATCCTGGATCCTGGGGGCGAGGGAAATCCCGCATTTTGCCCCATGCGCGAAGTGTTTCAAACTAGTGCTTGGGGAAAGCCGTCCGACGACGAGCTGTGCAGGTCTGCCCACGGCCCCCCGACGGGGGCAAGGCGCTGGGGGCGAGCGCGGCCACATGCTGTGCAGGATTTTAGCGCAGGACAGGTAATTCGCCTCGTTGCCGATCTGCTTCCGATGTGGCGCTTGAACGAGTAAGGTGTGCTACCGTCTTGGGGGCAGCTGCGATGGCAAGCCTGGTCCGTGTGGGCGCGGCGCGCTCAAGCGAATTCGCCAAGGCTTCCACCGTCACCACAGATCGGAGGGCACGGTTGTTTCGAGTGCTGGCGCCATTTGTCGTGCCTCGGCCAAGTATCTGCTGGTCAAGGCAGCAGAGTACGGCCTTGCCTCCTCGTTTTCCTCGCGAGCGGGGTTGGTCGCGACACCTGGGATGTCGGCCCTACCGGAGAGGATCCGTCAACGCGAGGAAGCCACTCGTGCAGCAGAGTCGGCCTAAGGCCGCATGTTCTTACATTCTGCCCTGTGGCCGGCGAGGCAAATCCTCCTCTTTTCCCTCCTTGCCCCTGGTCATCAGTCTCTTTGTCTTCCCCCCTCATTTCCCGCCCCCCTCTGCCCCCGTGCCCCCCCCTCCCTTCGTCGGCGGCGTCGCCGTCGCCGTCGTCATCGTCGCCTTTGCCGTCGTAGTCGTCGTCGTCGTGATCGCCGTTTTTGTCGCCCCTGCCATCCCCTCCTTGCCGGCATTATCGCCGTCGTCGTCTTTGGCATTGTCGTCGCCGCCGTCTTTCATATCGTGGCCGTGGCAATCGCCGCCCTCCTCAGGCACGGCGGCGCCCGGAAGGACCACCCACTGCGAAGGCGGCCGCAGAGAAGGGAGCTCGGCACCACCGAGCTTGTCCTCACGGGCCTCCTGGCGGACGGCGCCCGCCGCTTCCCGTCGAGTCGTGGCCGCCGTCGTCATCGCTGTTCCTCTGGCGTCGCGGTCACCGACGTCGTCGTGGCCGTACTCGTCATCGTCCATTACGCAATTCATGACAGCATTTTCGAGGTTCCGCGCAGACATCCGAAAGTGCATGTTTATGTTGTTATTGTTTTCGTCATACCAGTTTGGCGCAGTCGTCCGTGGCTCTGTCGTATCCGACGAGAGTTTCCAGCAGACGGCCACGCTTGCTCTCCACGCTCAGAAACGTAGGTGACAAATCATTAGGGACCGTGGGTGGTTGCATTGTTCGCCTCCCGTGTGTAATCTTGAGCGGTTGCATCGGTGTTTTCATGCACGCACTCTTCGTCGCCGACGATTGACGCTCGGACCGCGTGGTTGGGCGCAGCGGGGGGCCAGGCCACACAAAAATCACCCAGAAGCAATGCCATAGTGTAAGCACACCCCGCCCGCCCACCAGGGGTGCAGACCCGGGGCCGGGCTCGGGGCCCGGGAAGCGGGCAGGCCTGCTGCAGGCGGCGGAGGCGAACAGGGCGCGCCGATGCCATCACACGTCGGCGGGGGGCCCCGGGCGGCAGCGGGAGGGGGCAGGCGCTCTCAGGAGGCGGCGAGGCGTCTTAGTAGCCCTCGCACCTCCCGGGAAGCCGCCTGAAGTTTCGGGGAAGGCTCTCGCGAGGCTTCTCGGCAGACGCGAGGGGGCCTCTGAGGAGCCCCGCCGCCCTTCTGAGAGGGCCTGCCCCCTCTCTCAGCGTCCCCAAGGCCCTTGGGCAGTGCTTCTTTCGATTCCTCCGGTTCGATTCGATTTGATGTCGACGGCCTCCGCTTCCGATTCGACTTCGGATTCCGATTTGGATGCCGATTCCTCAATGGAGGCCTACCAGCCTGCTGATTTCTGCCGATCCGACTCTCACGACTCGGCTGCCGACTTCTGCCGATCCGACTAATTTCGATCGCCGATCCGACTTATCGATTCGATTCTGGGCTCGCCTGTTTGGGCTTGCCGCCGAACAGGGGGTGAAGAAGGCTTGCGCATCTCAACTGCCTGCCAGAAGCGCTGCGACACTGGCAGCCGATCCGGCCTCAGGCACGCAGCGATGCCCAGACAGCGCAGGACCAGAGCTCGACCGCGCGCGTTTTGTTTGGAGGGGAAAAAACACACAGACACAATCAATCGTCAACTCCCAGGAAAATATGGGAAAATATGGAAAGTGGGGGGAAAGACTAAAACCGAGAAAATATGGTAATATGGT